GTGTTTTTTTAACATGCTTTATTTTTCCTGTGCTTTAACCCCTTAAGGACACATGACATGTGTGACATGTCATGATTCCCTTTTATTCCAGAAGTTTGGTCCTTAAGGGGTTAAAATACATTGGATCATGCAATGCCACAACAGCATACACAAGATTATCAATGAACATAGGATAACAATTAGCAAAACGTTGTATTCATTAGAGAACTGAGTGGTATTTGGCATTGTGATGGTACAGCACAATTTTATGGTCTAACGTATAGAGCAGGCTAGACAAACATGTCTGGGGACTGAGCTAAAGCAATTTATTATGATTGTAAAAGAAAATCTAGCTATGGTGATGGTAACCTAATAATTTTAGGTATTGAGGGACAGCCTCACTGAACTCACGTAAGAGTAAGAAAAGTAAAAAGGCTGATTATACTTGACTGAATATTTAGAGAGATTAACCTTTGTAAATGAAGAGAGTCCCAGACATGGGTATAATACACAAAATGTCCCCTAAAAAGGCCCCCTCAGGCAATGATGAAACAGCAGGAGCCTCAGGCATGACAGTGTCAACTACCTTTATGACGCTAAAGAAACCCAACTAAATAAACTTAAATAAATTAACAATGTGTAGGGTTTGCACATTTAAAATTAAAGTAATGCCTCAGAGCGTGATCAGTGAAAGCCGGCCGGAGTCCCCAGTAAGATTTGCCGATGCCTCTCTGTGGCATATCATGGCCTTGTGTTGACAATGCAGTTTTCAGACACAAAGGCAAAGGCAGAGGCCGCAAGAGTAGGAGAGAGGTGCTCGGAGTTGAGCCCAGTTGTGGCCTTGAAGGCCTCTTCAGTGAGACAGTCTCATGAGATAAAGCAGGGTAAGTCCATAGCTTGAACAGACCTGTCAGAGATTTGTGCTCGGCTCTCTCTCTCCACCACCCCTGCCATTTTCGGGTGCACTTTCGGTCTTGGTGCCGGGGGCCAAGCAGGTGTCTCCGATATGGCTTGGCTTGTGGTGTCTGAGGGCTGACTCTCTGGCAGCACTCATTAATTCCACCCTCCGGCTGCTTCCAGAACTCAGCAAAGATGTTGTTAAGTCATGCTTCAAGATCAGGTTGTGCCTCACTGAAGTGGGGAAGACATGCAGTCTCCGCCATATTGAGGGAGTCAAGGCAGAATACACTTGCATGGAGAGCTTTGTCTTTTGGGCCTGCTAGGCTTTGGTAGCATCTCAGGTGTGGCCTGGGATCAACCCCGCCGGTTCACGGGGGGGGCTCTTGCATGAGATAGGTTGCATCTGAGCACCTTCAATCCAGGAGAGCGGCCGCCTACTCTGTCCGTCGCGCACTAGCCGCATTTGCCACAGTGGGCTAAGCAAGCTTCTGACAATTTGTTAACTGTTGCACTGTAGGTCAGGTAGGTTGGGAAGCTAGCTATTCACTCTGTTCACCTTTGTCAAACCAGATGAGTTTGCAAACAGCAGTTCTTACCAGGATCGCTGAGGAGTTCTCACAGACGTGTCTCCCCACCATGACAGTCCAGCCCCGCCCTGTGTTCTTTTATTTTTAATCCCTAATCTGTTCATTTCTTAAATTATTCTGTAAAATAGCCAAGAAAAAACTGGTTTGCTGTTCTCTACCTAGATTCTAGAGTTTTTCACAGAAGTATTAAAAAGGTCCAAAACGGTCTACAACACTTCTCTAACTTTGTTCCTATAATGTACCCTACAGTAGATTGTTAATGTTATTAGATGTAGAAAAAAAAGAAAAAATAGTGGTGGTTAAAATGAGAAATGAGACTCAGAACTGGTTTTATAAAGAAAGCAAAATATAGAAAGATACTTGATACATATTATGACTTAAAAATCAGCACTGAGTGCTAGTAAATGGCATTTATCCCTATGACATATAACATACTAATTCCAAAGAGTGCCACAAAAATTCAAATTTAAGGATACTTTATTATGATTCAAATAGGCACTATCAATGGAAATTAAAAATTAGAAATATAGTGGATACATACACTAACTATCAATAAGGGAAGTAAACTGACAGAGAGACTTAAAGAAGTTATTAGCTTCAAAGAAATGAGGTAGAGATAATAATAATAATAGAGGCAGCCAAGAGATTACAATGTGAAATAGATATATCGAGGCTAGAAAGTTTCTCCTAATTATCATAAATTAAGTACCTTTAAAAGGTGTAGTATGCTGTCCCTACTAGTTGATAACAAAAAATGCCTCTACACATAAATATAGACTGAAGCCCCTATAGTTCCTAGGACAAGCACCTACAAGGGTGTTCTAAATGTCCCTATTGATATATAACCTAAGATCATACCTCATTCAAGAAGATATAGAGGGATAGCATAGCAAAGAATGAAGTAAAAAGTCTCAGGTATTATCCCTATAGCTCCTAAAGCAAACACCTTCGAGGGTGTTTTATGCTGTCCCTGAGAAATAAAGAAAAGAAAGTAAATCTGCCGGTCTCTCCCCAATTAAGTAACTCAGCGCTGAAATGAAATAAAAAGTGAATCAAAAACCTAGTGCCACCATGTGAAGAAAAGGTGAGAAATGTTTTCGGGCAAATAGATGAATATCCTTTACCCAAGTGAACTTATCAAATCGTGGAACTGGACCAAAGGATAAACCTCTTTTCAATAAATTGGACTCTACCTGGGTTAAAGTGTACTGAGATAGATTTACCACTTAATCTCTCTCTAGAATCAATTTCTCCGATAGGATTGTCTCTTTTGCCTTGGTCTTACGAAGGGGCGTTCTTCGCCCTGTGTCATCTCTAAAAAAGTTACCCCTTTTTTAAGAATACTTCTGTTCTGTTCATTTGAAGTAAATGGAACAGGCTGAGAATAAGTATCTGAGCCAATTGTCTCATATTTGGAGGTAGATACTAGGTCCCTATCCACTTTTCTCCTTCTTTGAAATTTTTATAGACATTACCAGTTTTAAAATCCCTATGATCTCTCAGGAATTTTTGATGTTTCCTTTGTTTAATAACCGTCTGGTATCTCTCTAAATTGCTCTGTAACTTTTACTTTCATTAGAGACAAAGATGGTATCTGTTTTAAATTGATCAATTTTATCAATTTCTTTATCCACCTGCATCAAGACACCAAGTGGAAGAATCTTTTTTGTTTGACAAAAACCCAGCCATGTTAAGAAAATAATTTTAGTGATCTCTTAAAGAACTGACCTGAATGATAATGGGTCTTAAACCCTGTAAATTTAGTAGATGTAGAAAAAAAGAAAAAATAATCTATATAAAGGTCAGAGTGGTGGTTCCAGATCCACCAATAGTGGGGCTTGTACCCAAAATAAAAAGTTAGAGAATTAAGAATACTAAAAGTCTCAAAGAAATGAGACTCAGAACTGGTTTTATAAAGAAAGCAAAATATAGAAAGATACTTGTTATCAACTAGTAGGGACAGCATGCTACACCTTTTAAAGGTGCTTAATTTATGATAATTAGGAGAGACTTTCTAGCCTCGATATATCTATTTCACATTGTAATCTCTTGGCTGCCTCTATTATTATTATTATCTCTACCTCATTTCTTTGAAGCTAATAACTTATTTAAGTCTCTCTGTCAGTTTACTTCCCTTATTGATAGTTAGTGTATGTATCCCCTATATTTCTCATTTTTAATTTCCATTGATAGTGCCTATTTGAATCATAATAAAGTATCCTTAAATTTGAATTTTTGTGGCACCCTTTGGAATTAGTATGTTATATGTCATAGGGATAAATCCCATTTACAAGCACTCAGTGCTGATTTTTAAGTCATAATATGTATCAAGTATCTTTCTATATTTTGCTTTCTTTATAAAACCAGTTCTGAGTCTCATTTCTTTGAGACTTTTAGTATTCTTAATTCTCGATTGTTAATGTTATGCTTTACTACATTATCTTACAATTATTTTACAATTCTTAAATTTTATTTTGCCTTGTTTATAATTCTGTAACAGCTGGAAAGGTAGATTTCTAGAAACTATCATACACCATATTATATATTACTCAAATTCATTATTTATTTACTTTATATTTGTATGAATAAAATCTTCTAATCCTTTAATTTGTTCCATTTGTTGTCTTTCCAAACAGATTGAAACAATAATGTATTGTTTTTTTATATGCCAATATAAAAAATATTCAGAACATTAAATTAAATATAAGAACATTAAATGAAATATTATATTTGAAAAGTGAATGATGATCCGTAGTTTAATTCTCTTTAATTTAAAAAAATATATATTTTTAAAAAATCTACTGCAGCATTTTGATAAGATGGTTTTAAAATAGACATTCATATATCATTGCAAATGATTAGGCCATTAATTTTATATATAGCACTAGTCATTTTCCTGATGGATTGAACAGACTACATAATCATTAGTGCCATTTTACTTTTACAATAGTATTGATTTATTTATGTATTATATTAACTTTGTATTTCATATGAATAAACACATGAATTAATTAAGTAACAAAGACACTAAACTGCACCAGATCCATTTTTTTTATTTTTTTTATGGTAAGAAGTTAAATGAAGGATTTGTGCTGCATTTACAAATGTATTCTATTAAAAGGGGATATATACATAATCATTGCAATTCTTATTGCTATTTTCATATTTCTTTCTTTGCAAAAAAAAAAAATATCCAACATTTCATGTCAAATATTTACTTGATTGAAAAATGAGATTGTTGTGTTCTATTTTATATTTTCCTTTGAGCAGAAAATGTATTTTAAGAAACCTCTATTTATTTTAGCAAGCGTAATTCAGCACGTTAACTAAAGGATTATAGAAAGTTCAGTGATTATGTGAGAATAAAAATATAATATGATATGCTGCTAGAAAAGGGACTCTCATTGCGCACAGTTATATAATTCATTCCTATTGTCACTTAATGCCTTAGTAGTAATATCAAACCTGTATTGTCCTCCACTCAATTGGATCTTTTGCTACATTGCTTAGAGCAGGCTACCCCAAACTCTGGCCCTCCAGATGTTGCTAAACTACAACTCCCATGATTCTCTAGCTATCTATTTCAAAGGATCATGGGAGTTGTAGTTTGGCAACATCTAGAGGGCTGGAGTTTGGGGAAGCCTG